AACATAACACTTGTAATTTAAATAACTTGATATATACAGATTTATTCAGTAATATGTAATATATTTTTCAAATGGATTATGAAAATTTAAATATAAGGAGCTCTAAAAGATTTTTTTACAGCTCTTTTGCTCTAGAGTCTAGACCAGGGATCCTCAAATCTGGCCCATGAGATCCACTTTCCTGCAGAGTTTAGCTATAACCCTAATCAAACACCCCTGAGCATGCTAATCAATGTCTTCAGGATCATTAGAAAATCACAGGTAGCTGAGTTTGATCAGGGTTGGAGCTAAACTCTGCAGAGCATTGGACCTCCAGGGTAAGATTTGAGGAACCCTGGTCTAGACCATCTAATAATGTTAAATTCCACAAATAAAATGTTAAGGTTTCAACTGCATCTGTCTGAGGGGGAAAAAAACACAGCAGAGATTGATTTTATTACAGTTATTTTCGAGGCTTTCAATGTTCTCTCAATAAAAAAGAAATGTAATAAAGTTTATTACTCCTAACAAATAAGTTTTTGTTCAAAACAAACCAAAATTAAAAATAATTTGTTTATAACTTCCGCACAGGAGAGACTTGGTGTTGTTTCAAAACAAAGGGAAAAATATAGCTATTGGCCAAAATGATTTGAAAAATATCGGCATATCGGCTATCTAATATTGTGCATCCCTTCTCTTTTAATGAAAAATATTGTGGATTTGGGAGGTTGTGCTCAAAAAAGACAAAAAAAGTACCATAAAAGTATCATAAACGTAGACTATTTATTTATATATGAATTCATGAAAAAATAGAAAAGGTATTTGGAGAAGCCGTAAAAAAATAGTTGATTAAGTGAAGTCATTAACAAACTGGGCAGCAAGGCTGCCAGAAAGTCATACTGTATGGGTTTGGGATGACATTAGGGTGAGTAAATGATGACAGAATTTTCATTTTTGGCTGAACTATACCTTTAAGGGTAAAGGAGAGCGAAATGAACAGTAAATAAGGGTAGATTGTAGTCTTAGAAGCCATAAAACAATCCTGGATAGATTTTTTTTAGGTTAATGACCCAGAAACTATTTTATGCATATGCAAATTTACTGTTAGAGAGACACACGCACACACAGATTCATAAAAGTGATGCTCCACTTTGTTTTGTCCAAGTACAGTGCTGAAGGTTAATCACTGCACTCAGAACTGTTTGACTGGATGCCCCATGGCAAGAGTATCCCACAGCAATTCAAGGATTAAGATTCAAGATTTTTTCACATACATGGTTATATAGAGAACATATGACCTGCAGTGAAATGTAAGTTATGTAATGTAAGTATTCCGAAAAGCAAAATGGTGCCATCACTTGGATACATAATTACCAAATGAAAGACTGAGCAACAAGATGGTGGTTACATATGACTGTAACTGACAAAACTGAAAAGAGTGAAAGTTCGTATGTGTGTGTGATCATGCATAAAACACACACAGTTATTCCCGAAAAAAAGTATAGGCTAGCAAAATCAAATCGTGTGTGACTGCAGAGGTTGCTCTTTAGCTTCCATACTGTGGCATTTGCAGTATTTGCATGTATCTGACCTTTTTAAAGGAAAGGAAAGGGGCGCTGGTGTTGATCTGAAGCAAAGAAGGGGGAATCAAGATAAAGAATAGATTATGTTTGTATAGTGGAGACTCTTGCTTACCCATCATTCTCTATTTATCTCTCTCTGCCCTCACTCTCCCCCTCTGCTATTTCCACCTACATTTGATGCACCTATTAATAAACATGTTGTAAGAACAATAATGTTGTGAAATATTGCTACAAATTTAAATACGTTTTCTTTTTAATATACTTTAAAATATAATTTATTCTTATGGTGGCAAAACTGAATTTTCAGAGAAAATCATTCTAATATGCTGATTTATTATCAATGTTGGAAATAGTTGTGCTGCTGCTTAATATTTTTGGAACATGATACTTTTTTCAAATTTCTTAAAAAGTTAGAAAGAAGAGGATTCATTAAAAAGTACAAATCTTTTGTAACAATATACAATACTGTTCTAAAGCTTGGGGTCAGTATGATTTTTTCTTTTTCCTTTAAAAACGTTAGTACTGTTATTTAGCAAGGATATGTTAAATTGATATAATAATAAAAAAGTGATAGTGAAGACTTATGTTGTGACAAAAGATTTCTGTTTTGAATAAATGCTGTTCTTATACAGTACAAATGCTGTATATAAACAGTACAAGAAGTCTCTTCACCAAGGCTGCATGTATTTGAACAAAAATATAGTAAAACAGTCATTTTTTTGAAAATGTTCTTTTTTACCCTTACCAAAAAGTAGTATTATTCAAGTTTATTTTAGTAAGTATACTTAAGTAAAGTTCAAGTATATTTTTAAGTATACTTTATGTAGTAAGTATACAAATATCAGTGTACTAGTAGTATACTTGTAAGTGTACTATTTCAATACTCCTTGGGACTAAATTGGCCCACTTTCTAGTATATAAAAGTATACTTTTAAGTATACTTTCAGCATAAAAGTAGTAAACTTTGAGTACACAACTAGTGTACATCAAAATGTTTAGTTTGTACTGCAACTATACTAAAAGTGAACTTATAGGTATACTGATAGTTTACTAATTAAATTTAATTTTAGTACACTTTGAAGTATAATCTCAGTAAAGTACTAGTTTAGTAGTTTTATACTGCAAGTAAGTTTTCTTTAAGTGAACTTTACATCATACTTGAAGTATACTACTATGTCCCTATTTAGGGATTAATTTGTATATATTTTGTTACATGAATATCTAAACATAGAAAAAACATCAAAAGAACAGGGTATCTGCTTGTAAACAAAAACATTTTATTCTAGCTTCATGCATTCTTTTTTAAACACTTGAATGTGGATAAGTTTCATGAATAAAAAATAAAGAAATAAACAACATTTTGAACAAAAAGCTGAAAAAAGACTATGAATTGGATTCAGAATGATAATCAAAATGTAGATAGAGTCGATCAACACCCCAAAGCTTGACAGTCAGTATTACCTCTTCATGGGTCGACATTTTATTCCATAATGTTACATAGTTTTGATACTGTTTTATGTCTGATGATCGTGTTAGAATACATGTTAGTGTTAGTGGAAGCGTCTGTTGTTTCGGTTTCTTCTTCACTTGTGTTTTTTGGAAATTCTGTACAGAAGATGTGTACTAGCGCACCCTACAGTATAACAATGAAAACACAGATTCTAGGAGCACAATTATAGCTACAATATATTTAGACTTTTTCTAAGTATAAGTCAAGTATACTTAAATGTCATTTTAAGTATATTTCTGAGAAGTACATAAATCCCATTTCTGAGAAGTACATAAAAAGTAGACTAAAAGTATACTTTCCTATTTCTAGTTTAAACGAAGTATACTAATAGCACACTTGAATAAACTTCTTTTTCGTAAGGGTATATATATATCTTAATATACTGTGGCATTGCTTAGGAAGTAATTTTCACATTAAAGGTGGAAAAGGTCTGATATGATTTAATTTTAATTTATTACAAAACAAAAACCATGCTGTTTCAACAGGGGTACATCATTGTGTGTGTGTGTGTGTGTGTGTGTGTGTGTGTGTGTACACATTTTAATTAATAAATTCATACTTATTTCAGCTAGTTGCCAAGGTACATTAGCATTTCTCGTTTTTGTTTAGTTTATGATGAAGTACTAAAATAACTAAAGCTTAACAAAAACTATATAGACATGTTTTAAATGGCTGAAGTTTTAACTAAAATTTAAATATTAAATATGAAAATATACAAAATATATAATAGTATAAAAATTATATGAAGATAACAGGGGTGTGGCAAATTATGCCTGTTCTGTTATGTGTTGAAGATGCTATATATTGACTGAGACAGAAAACACAGCAGTGCGCCAGTCACTCTTGGATCTAATCAAGGTTAATAGAGGTTCATAGAAACAATACCAACAGGCCAAAAAAAAGGGATGAGTCACTTTCTGAGGGAGCTGAGGGGCCCACAAATCGCCTCTGGCTTTGCTGTTGGAATCCTTCCCAGACAATTGCTGCTGATGTTGTTTGTTTGTCATCTTTTGCATCTTCAGGTGCAAAAATTCTGCTGAAGTGCTATTTTATAATATAAACAGATCTTTTTCACCAGGTCGGCCTTTAGTTTACAATCCCACCCGTAATACTACCACCTTCTGTTTATGTGTGTTTTCAATTTGTGGGGGATTTCGGTATTCTATAATAGTATTCTTAATTTTTAATTCTTAATTTATGAATAAATAATAATATGACAACGTCTCCAAGATGCTTCAAGAAACCTACCTGCAAAGCTACAGTACTGTTAAAAGTTGAGGATGCTGTCAAAAATAATGCCATAAATAGATTTTCTTTATTAATTAACTTCTATTAACTAAATTAAATCAACATTTGGTGTGACCATCCTGTGCGTTTAAAGCAGCTTTTTCCCTAGGTGCACTTGCACATAGTTTTTCAGTTAGCTTTGCAGGTAGGTTTTTTTGAAGCATCTTGGAGAGACGTTGCCAGAGTTCTTCTGGATTTAGTCTGTCTCAGTTTGTTCTGTTTCTTCATGTCATTCCAGACAGACTGGATGATGAAGAGATCAGATCTCTGTGTGGAACACTGGCTGTTGTCAGACTCCTTGTGCAAACACAGATCTCACTGGATTATTACAATTAATGGCAAAATGAATGTTTGGAATTGTAAACTGATATACTGACACACTAAAGCAAAAGATAGAAATAACTGATTTAAAACCAATTTTAGCTGGTGAAAATACTAGTGTTCTAATCATTTTGGCCACCACTGTGTATATATTATCTGTCTAATAATTCAGATGCTATACGGTAACTGGAGAACCTAACATGCTGTGAGGGCTAAATATAGAATGATGATCATGTGATCAGAACAGTATATGTGTGTGTTACAATACATACAACATTCAGATACATTTACATCTATATTTTTCTGCTTTTCTATTTTAGACTCGCGTACAGCCTAAAAGTGGGATCTGGAAAGAAAACAAACACCCTCATATGCAAAGAGCACATCTCGGCTTTCTGTGACCTACAGACAAAGAGAGATCCTGCAGCGCCTGAACTGAGAAGCGTCTCTGTCCACTCCACCCTATATGCTTTATTAATGATGTCAGAACAGACGCAATGCAGTGATGACCCACAGCGATAGAAGGTCAATCATTGGAAAGTGGATGCAAATCTCAGCACAATTGGAAGAGTATAGAACCTTCTAGAAACACAACAGTGGTTCTCAAATATTTTGATTCAAAAGCATCTCATTGTCCAACACAGTTTTCAATGCCTAAGGTAGGATATTTCTGCTATACAGTAATTATGACAAAGATTGCTTGTTTGTAATCTTTTTATAAACATAAATTGGGAAACAAGCAGAAGTAGTAAATGAGGGGGAAAAAAGAAATATGATTTCTTGATGTTATGTATTTTAAGCATTTTATTAAAGTTTTAATTTATCAATAATAATAAATAATATGGCCCCCTTTGAAGTTTTCTGAGGGCCCTTGTGGCTCTCGGCCCCTGGTTGAGAACCATTGATCTAGAATGTGAATATGAGTAAAGAGAACACCTTCTTAGCCTTTTTCTATAACTGCATATGAAAGAATATTTATATCCTTTTAAAAAACGAGATGATTGGTAGCAATTGGCCCTTAGGGAAAATAGTAAGTATGTCTGTGTTTCTAGAAAGAATGCTTGTGAACAAAACTAAACCAGCACTGACATCAAAAGATGGATGGTTTGTGCACAGTTGAGCGATGCTTTCCAAATAACTACACGTGATTGGCCCTGTGGGCTGAACGCGTGTGATTGACAGGTGATCCAGCCACTGACGAGATGCCATCAAAGATGTCATTCCTGTATTTGCTGACTGTGGTCTGCTGGGCCAGTGCGCTGTGGTATCTCAGTGGCTCTCGGCCCTCAACCACCTACGTGGGTCCGATGACCTTCACCCCTCGCAAACCGCTGCCGAGGCTCTCGAAGAACGACACGCTCAGCAATATCCGAACGCGTGCTCTGAACCCGCACAATTTCAAGTTCCTTATCAACGAGCCCAACAAATGTGAAAGCACAAAGCCCTTTCTTGTTCTCCTCATAAGCACCAACCACAAGGAGTTTGACGCCCGCCAGGCGATCCGGGAGACATGGGGAGATGAAAACATGCTCGGCAACGTTCACATTTTGACGCTGTTCCTTCTTGGGTTCAGCACTGAACCTGTCCTCAACCAGATGGTGGAACAAGAGAGCCAGATCTTCCATGACATCCTAGTCGAGGACTTTGTGGATTCCTACCACAATTTGACCCTGAAGACTCTCATGGGCATGCGATGGGTGTCCTCGTTCTGCCCCAACGCGCAGTACGTCATGAAAACAGACAGTGATATATTTGTCAACATGGACAATTTAGTGTTTAACCTTCTGAGACCCAACTCCAAACCAAGGCGACACTTTTTCACAGGTCATGTGATAAACGGAGGACCCATACGTGACGTTCACAGCAAGTGGTTCATGCCCAGAGAGCTTTACCCTGATAGCAGGTACCCACCCTTTTGTTCTGGCACTGGATACGTCTTCTCCGGAGACATTGCAGAGCTGGTTTATAAGACCTCCCTCCATACAAGACTCCTACATCTGGAGGATGTGTATGTGGGACTGTGCCTGCGGAAACTAGGCATTCAGCCTGTCCAGAACAGTGGATTTAATCACTGGAAAATGACCTACAGTCTCTGCCGCTACCGAAAAGTCTTGACTGTACATCAGATCTCACCAGAGGAGATACTGAGAATATGGAACGATATGTCCAACAAGAAACATCTCAAATGCTAGCGTTTTTGCTGATATGTGATAATGAAAATATGGTTATGTATTGGTATTAACAGGACTGTTTGTGACCCTCCTGGTCTGTTACAGCAATACAGTCTGTTACTTGCAACACAGACCACATTAATGAAACTGATGTCAGTCTGTAGAGCAATATGTGCAGGGTCAAACTGGATTCACAAGGTATTTGCAATGGTTATAAACTGGTGTTTTACATACTTACAAACATTATTGATGTACCAGGCCGCTGTGAAATGCTTTATATTAATAATACCAGTATTGTGAGAAGTAGCGGTTCAGTATTTACTATCCCAAATGGCTACCATAAACTACATTTATTCTGTATATCATTTAAAATGAATGATAACTAGAATAACCCATGAGAATGCATATTTATGTGTAGTTCAAGCCTTTGTAAAGCAGTAGAGCTCAGTTTTATAACTGGGGGGTAGGGAACTTATTTTGCTTTTTTAGGTTACATTTAAATAATGAATGCAAAAATTGATGGCATACACATTTTAATTTTGCATGCAGTGCTCACTTTTTTGTAAAGGGGTTGTATCTTTTTTTGTATTGTTATTTAAATTGTATATTTTATTATATTATTTTTTATATAATTAATTCTGTAAATATTTACTTCATTTACTTTTTTTTTCCATAGAGGTTCTGCACCAAAATGTAATTTGTGACTATTTTCCAATCTGTCATTTATCATTAATTAAATAGTTCTGAAAGTTACAGTACATTTTCATAGTAGGATTAACATATTATATATATATATATATATATATATATATATATATATATATATATATATATATATATATATATATATAAAAAGA